CAATGTTATTCTTAGATTAGACCCATGTCTAAATGATATTGATAAGCAATCTGTTCAAAATATCCATTTAATAAAAGAGATTGTTCATCTAAAGCTGTTATTATCAACATAGAGAGAATATAAACCTTTACAAATCAGTGGCTAACTTATATATTTATTATAAATAGCTATTCAAACTAGTAGTATGTTTAAAAATGTACACTTTTTAAACCTGATATAATAATCTACTGCTTGAGAGTAAATACATTTAATTGTATGTTAATTCAACGAAAGAATTAAATGAAATCATGAGACAATTGAAGCTAGACCAACATGGAAAATCTGGAAGCACTGTATGGCCGTTTCGTTCTAGTATGGGGCTCCTCAACAGTGCGCATCCACGATCCTGCACCACGCGATACTCGAACACAGGATCCATCAGTCTCGCGCCAGGCGCTTAACCAATTGTACTACTGAGCCGGCATCCAATTGTGGTAATGTCTATCGTCAACCAATCCACGAGAGACTGATAAGTCCTGGATACGAATCTCGCGGATGGCAGGATCGAGGATGAGCACTGTTGAGGAGTCCCATACTAGGACGAAACGGCCATCCGGTGCTTCCAGGTTTTCCATGGTCATCTAGCTTCAATTGACTCATGATTTTAATCAAAAACTTAATAATCTCTACAACCCTTAATAAACTGAAAGAATTAATTATTAGAAGATATCAGGATGTATGTATAACTCCTCCTGTAGCTCTTCTAGAGTTGCTGCCGGTCCCAAGCCCGGGTAAAGGAGGAAAGTTGGGCATGGGGTTAGCGTCCCCATCCCGTAGAAAACTAACTCGCTAAAAAACGCTTACTAGAGAAAATTATTCAAGCCCCGGGATGTGAATATATCATGGGACGACATGGACTGGGTGAGAGGAACGAAAATGGGGAAAGATTTACAAGTCTATGTGCATTCAACAAATTGGTCGTAGGATGCACAGTATTTCCACACATGCGTATACACAAGGCTACATGGATCTCACCGGACCACACTACAGAGAACCCGATAGATCATATTTGCATCAATAAAAAATTCCGAAGGACAATGGAAGATGTGAGAACCAGGAGAGGAGCTGACATAGCTTCAGATCACCACCTAGTTGTAGCCAATTTAAAACTGAAGCTAAAAAAGAACTGGACAACTGAACAAACAGCAATACAAAGGTTCAATACAGCCTTCCTTCGAAATACTGACAAACTCAATGAATTCAAGATAGCTCTCAACAACAGGTTCCAAGCCTTACAAGATCTACTGAAGGAAGAAGAAACTACTATGGAGGACAACTGGAAAGGCATCAAAGAAGCATTGACTTCAACATGTCAAGAGGTTCTGGGCCTAAATAAACACCATCATAAGGAATGAGTCTCTATGGAAACACTGGACAAGATCAAAGAAAGGAAGAACAAGAAGACAGCAATTAACAACAGCCGAGCACGAGCAGAGAAAGTCCAAGCACAAGCTGACTACATAGAAGCAACTAAGCAATTGAAGGAGAGCATTAGAGCCGACAGGAATAAATACGTGGAAGAATTAGCAACGACGGCGGTAAAAGCTGCTAGAGAAGGAAATATGAAACAGCTTTACGATACAACGAGGAAACTAGCAGGGAAATACAGTAAACCAGAGAGGCCGGTCAAAGACAAAGAAGGCAAGTGAATCACTGAAATTCAACAACAGCGGAACAGATGGGTAGAATACTTCGAGGAACTCCTGAATAGGCCGGCTCCAACGAATCCACCGGACATCGAAGCAGCACACACAGATCTTCCTAAAGATGCCAACCCGCCAACGATGGAAGAAATCAGAATGGCCATCAGACAAATGAAGAACGTGAAAGCAGCAGGACCCGACAACATGCCAGCTGAAGCACTGAAATCAGACATCGAATTAACTACAAGTATGCTTCACCTTCTATTCAAAAAGATTTGGGAGGAGGAACAAGTGCCAATGGACTGGAAAGAAGGACACCTCATCAAGATTCCAAAGAAAGGAGATCTGAGCAAATGTGAACACTACAGAGGCATTACACTACTGTCAATACCAGGGAAAGTCTTCAACAGAGTGTTACTGAACCGGATGAAGGATATAGTAGACGCCCAACTTCGAGATCAACAAGCTGGATTCCGTAAGGATCGGTCGTGCACAGACCAAATTGCAACACTACGGATCATCGCCGAACAATCAGTTGAGTGGAACTCGTCACTATACATCAACTCCATTGATTATGAAAAGGCATTCGACAGTGTAGGTAGGAGGACATTATAGAAACTTCTTCGACATTACGGAGTTCCTGAGAAGATTATCAATATTATCCGGAACTCATACGACGGACTACAGTGCAAGGTCGTGCATGGAGGACAGTTGACAGATGCATTCCAAGTAAGGACCGGAGTCAGACAAGGCTGTCTACTCTCCCCCTTCCTCTTTCTTCTGGTGGTCGACTGGATTATGAAGACCTCGACATCTGAAGGAAAACACGGAATACAATGGACAGCTCAGAATCAATTAGACGATTTGGACTTCGCAGATGACCTAGCCCTCCTATCACGTACACACGAACAGATGCAGATGAAGACAGCCAGTGTAGCAGCAGTCTCTGCATCAGTAGGCCTCAGCATACACAAAGGGAAAACCAAGGTCCTCAAATTCAAAGCGGAGAACAGCAATCCAATCAATCTTGATGGCAAAACTCTGGAAGATGTAGAATCTTTCACATACCTAGGAAGCATCATCGATGAACAAGGAGGTTCAGATGCAGACTTAAAAGCAAGGATTGGCAAAGCAAGGGTCGCATTCCTACAATTGAAGAACATATGGAACTCAAAACAACTTTCAACCAATATCAAAGTGAGAATTTTCAACACAAACGTCAAGGCAGTTCTACTGTATGGAGCTGAAACTTGGAGAACTACAACAACCATCATCAAGAAGGTTTAAGTATTTATAAATAGCTGTTTACGCAAGATACTCAACATCCATTGGCCAGATACCATCAGCAACACCCTTCTGTGGGAGAGAACAAACCAGCTTCCAGCTGAAGAGGAAATTAGGAAAAGACGATGGAAATGGATAGGACGTACATTACGCAAACCATCAAACTGCATCACGAAGCAAGCCCTAACTTGGAATCCTGAAGGGAAGCGGAAAAGAGGAAGGCCAAAGAACACATTGCGTCGGATAATAGAAGCAGATATACAAAAGATGAATAAGAACTGGAAAGAGCTTGCAAGGATTACCCAGGACAGAGTTGGATGGAGAATGCTGGTGAGCGGCCTATGCTCCTTCACGAGGAGTAACAGGCGGAAGTAGGTAAGTAAGTAAGGATGTATGTATACAGTTTAGTTCTTAATATCCCAGTCTAGTATATAAGTAATGTCAAAACAAGTTGCTTAACATGTGAACATATAAGTGAAGAAAACACATCTTATTACTATCCATCATTCAGGCAACATATTACATGACCAAAATAACTCTACTGTTATACTACTTAATAAAAAGATTCATACTTAGGCAAATTTGTACTATTAAACATATAAGAGAATAACAATTAAAAAGACACGTAGTACTTCCAATGAGAAAACTGAGATAATACAGTTTAGAAGATGAAGATAAACAAAACATGTACAAATAGAAGAATGGATGAACTCTGATAATTCACACAAACGCAAATAAAAAAGCATTGAAATCATTATTCAAAATCATTGAAACAACATACTAAAAGAAAGTAAATGTTTAACATACTGATAATATACATTCTGATAAATTATGTTTACTGTGTGAACAACAACAGGAAACTTGATAAAAACAGTCTCGAAATACTCGAACTGCACAGAAAATACAGACAGGATTTAGTTGATTGTAAAGTTGATGGACAACCTCCAGCTAAATATATGTCACCATTGGTAAATCACTCACTATTCAATAATTTCTTCAAATAATATACGTAACGCTTATTTGTAGAAATGGAATTACAATCTGGCTGCACAAGCACAAAAATTGGCGAACAAATGCATCTTGCAACACGACAAACGTCATTCGGATGAATTCTCTTGGGTTGGACAAAATATTGCTCTCCATCCAACCATTAAGTCGTAAGCTCATTTCTATTCAATTCAATGTTTTCTGATTCAGAGGAGTAGATGCTTGGTTCAATGAGCACAAATTATACGACTACAATCAGAACAACTGCATGAAATGTTTGCATTACACACAAGTAAGTCCATTCTCATCCACTTCAACATAGTTCAACATACCCACAGTCATTTGCCACTCAACATTCACACCTATTATAATGCACCACGAATGTGTGATAACAATCAAGTGGTTTCACTTTTCTACAGGAGTGACTGAAAAACACATGTGAATACACGTAATCCGATCATTGCAGTTATGCACACAGGTATCCACAACACTTGATCATATTTGAGTATGTGTGTTTTGTTGAGAGTTGAGGTGATTCGGTGGAAAACAACAGATAGGAAATTTGTCTCTGACCAGCATGTACTAAGACTGACGAGTGCATTCAAATCCTAATCAATCTGTCAACACTAGTGTCATCACTAGTGTGAACACACAAACACAATATTGCAATCTACTCAACAGAAATTCATTGTGTATAGATGGAAGATGATGATGTTGTGATGGGTGAAATGATTTCGACTGTTGGTTGACATGAGACAGAATGAGTGGGAGAGTGAGAGAGAGTGACTGATTGATTGATTGATTGATTGGTTGAGTGAGTGAGTGAGTGTTCTGTAGAATTTAACTAGTTATCATAACTGCACCAAATGTGAACATACTCATTCAACACATACTGGAATTTCCACGTGTATGTTCTTCAGTTGACAACATTATCTCTATCATCTACAAGTAATGTATTTACTCACATCAGGTTGAAGCATAGTGGAAATGCCTTGCAATTGGCCTACCGAACGATCACATTATTTCCTTGTTCACATTCCGTTTCAGATGGTTTGGGCCAAGACCACAGACATTGGATGTGGAGTTGCGAGTTGTCCAACGTACGGTCTATCAATCGTGTGTAATTATGGTCCAGGGTAAGTGATTGCTCTTGATCATGTGAGAATAAACAATTTTGTTTGCAATCACCTTGTTGTTGTTGTTCTCATAGTGAATGTAACTGATGTTTTATATTGTGTTGACTGTTTTAGTGGTAATTGGAATAATGAGAAACCATATGAAGTGAAATCACGTGAATTGTGCCCAAAAATGCAGAATATTCCTAAAAAGAGTTTTCAAACGACGCGTGATGATACACAGCGTGCACCATTATCAAAAGTGAATGTCAACCACAAGTTGTCATCGATCGGTTCAAGTGAAGGTTTAGTTAACGATCAACCCTCCACAGGCGTGCAAAGAACGTTGGATTCGAATAGACGAGAAATACTCGAACTGCATACAAAATACAGACAGGATTTGGTTGATTGTAAAGTTGATGGACAACCTCCAGCTAAATATATGTCACCATTGGTAAATCACTCACTATTCAATAATTTCTTCAAATAATATACGTAACGCTTATTTGTAGAAATGGAATTACAATCTGGCTGCACAAGCACAAAAATTGGCGAACAAATGCATCTTGCAACACGACAAACGTCATTCGGATGAATTCTCTTGGGTTGGACAAAATATTGCTCTCCATCCAACCATTAAGTCGTAAGCTCATTTCTATTCAATTCAATGTTTTCTGATTCAGAGGAGTAGATGCTTGGTTCAATGAGCACAAATTATACGACTACAATCAGAACAACTGCATGAAATGTTTGCATTACACACAAGTAAGTCCATTCTCATCCACTTCAACATAGTTCAACATACCCACAGTCATTTGCCACTCAACATTCACACCTATTATAATGCACCACGAATGTGTGATAACAATCAAGTGGTTTCACTTTTCTACAGGAGTGACTGAAAAACACATGTGAATACACGTAATCCGATCATTGCAGTTATGCACACAGGTATCCACAACACTTGATCATATTTGAGTATGTGTGTTTTGTTGAGAGTTGAGGTGATTCGGTGGAAAACAACAGATAGGAAATTTGTCTCTGACCAGCATGTACTAAGACTGACGAGTGCATTCAAATCCTAATCAATCTGTCAACACTAGTGTCATCACTAGTGTGAACACACAAACACAATATTGCAATCTACTCAACAGAAATTCATTGTGTATAGATGGAAGATGATGATGTTGTGATGGGTGAAATGATTTCGACTGTTGGTTGACATGAGACAGAATGAGTGGGAGAGTGAGAGAGAGTGACTGATTGATTGATTGATTGATTGGTTGAGTGAGTGAGTGAGTGTTCTGTAGAATTTAACTAGTTATCATAACTGCACCAAATGTGAACATACTCATTCAACACATACTGGAATTTCCACGTGTATGTTCTTCAGTTGACAACATTATCTCTATCATCTACAAGTAATGTATTTACTCACATCAGGTTGAAGCATAGTGGAAATGCCTTGCAATTGGCCTACCGAACGATCACATTATTTCCTTGTTCACATTCCGTTTCAGATGGTTTGGGCCAAGACCACAGACATTGGATGTGGAGTTGCGAGTTGTCCAACGTACGGTCTATCAATCGTGTGTAATTATGGTCCAGGGTAAGTGATTGCTCTTGATCATGTGAGAATAAACAATTTTGTTTGCAATCACCTTGTTGTTGTTGTTCTCATAGTGAATGTAACTGATGTTTTATATTGTGTTGACTGTTTTAGTGGTAATTGGAATAATGAGAAACCATATGAAGTGAAATCACGTGAATTGTGCCCAAAAATGCAGAATATTCCTAAAAAGAGTTTTCAAACGACGCGTGATGATACACAGCGTGCACCATTATCAAAAGTGAATGTCAACCACAAGTTGTCATCGATCGGTTCAAGTGAAGGTTTAGTTAACGATCAACCCTCCACAGGCGTGCAAAGAACGTTGGATTCGAATAGACGAGAAATACTCGAACTGCATACAAAATACAGACAGGATTTGGTTGATTGTAAAGTTGTTGGACAACCTCCAGCTAAATATATGTCACCATTGGTAAATCACTCACTATTCAATAATTTCTTCAAATAATATACGTAACGCTTATTTGTAGAAATGGAATTACAATCTGGCTGCACAAGCACAAAAATTGGCGAACAAATGCATCTTGCAACACGACAAACGTCATTCGGATGAATTCTCTTGGGTTGGACAAAATATTGCTCTCCATCCAACCATTAAGTCGTAAGCTCATTTCTATTCAATTCAATGTTTTCTGATTCAGAGGAGTAGATGCTTGGTTCAATGAGCACAAATTATACGACTACAATCAGAACAACTGCATGAAATGTTTGCATTACACACAAGTAAGTCCATTCTCATCCACTTCAACATAGTTCAACATACCCACAGTCATTTGCCACTCAACATTCACACCTATTATAATGCACCACGAATGTGTGATAACAATCAAGTGGTTTCACTTTTCTACAGGAGTGACTGAAAAACACATGTGAATACACGTAATCCGATCATTGCAGTTATGCACACAGGTATCCACAACACTTGATCATATTTGAGTATGTGTGTTTTGTTGAGAGTTGAGGTGATTCGGTGGAAAACAACAGATAGGAAATTTGTCTCTGACCAGCATGTACTAAGACTGACGAGTGCATTCAAATCCTAATCAATCTGTCAACACTAGTGTCATCACTAGTGTGAACACACAAACACAATATTGCAATCTACTCAACAGAAATTCATTGTGTATAGATGGAAGATGATGATGTTGTGATGGGTGAAATGATTTCGACTGTTGGTTGACATGAGACAGAATGAGTGGGAGAGTGAGAGAGAGTGACTGATTGATTGATTGATTGATTGGTTGAGTGAGTGAGTGAGTGTTCTGTAGAATTTAACTAGTTATCATAACTGCACCAAATGTGAACATACTCATTCAACACATACTGGAATTTCCACGTGTATGTTCTTCAGTTGACAACATTATCTCTATCATCTACAAGTAATGTATTTACTCACATCAGGTTGAAGCATAGTGGAAATGCCTTGCAATTGGCCTACCGAACGATCACATTATTTCCTTGTTCACATTCCGTTTCAGATGGTTTGGGCCAAGACCACAGACATTGGATGTGGAGTTGCGAGTTGTCCAACGTACGGTCTATCAATCGTGTGTAATTATGGTCCAGGGTAAGTGATTGCTCTTGATCATGTGAGAATAAACAATTTTGTTTGCAATCACCTTGTTGTTGTTGTTCTCATAGTGAATGTAACTGATGTTTTATATTGTGTTGACTGTTTTAGTGGTAATTGGAATAATGAGAAACCATATGAAGTGAAATCACGTGAATTGTGCCCAAAAATGCAGAATATTCCTAAAAAGAGTTTTCAAACGACGCGTGATGATACACAGCGTGCACCATTATCAAAAGTGAATGTCAACCACAAGTTGTCATCGATCGGTTCAAGTGAAGGTTTAGTTAACGATCAACCCTCCACAGGCGTGCAAAGAACGTTGGATTCGAATAGACGAGAAATACTCGAACTGCATACAAAATACAGACAGGATTTGGTTGATTGTAAAGTTGATGGACAACCTCCAGCTAAATATATGTCACCATTGGTAAATCACTCACTATTCAATAATTTCTTCAAATAATATACGTAACGCTTATTTGTAGAAATGGAATTACAATCTGGCTGCACAAGCACAAAAATTGGCGAACAAATGCATCTTGCAACACGACAAACGTCATTCGGATGAATTCTCTTGGGTTGGACAAAATATTGCTCTCCATCCAACCATTAAGTCGTAAGCTCATTTCTATTCAATTCAATGTTTTCTGATTCAGAGGAGTAGATGCTTGGTTCAATGAGCACAAATTATACGACTACAATCAGAACAACTGCATGAAATGTTTGCATTACACACAAGTAAGTCCATTCTCATCCACTTCAACATAGTTCAACATACCCACAGTCATTTGCCACTCAACATTCACACCTATTATAATGCACCACGAATGTGTGATAACAATCAAGTGGTTTCACTTTTCTACAGGAGTGACTGAAAAACACATGTGAATACACGTAATCCGATCATTGCAGTTATGCACACAGGTATCCACAACACTTGATCATATTTGAGTATGTGTGTATTGTTGAGAGTTGAGGTGATTCGGTGGAAAACAACAGATAGGAAATTTGTCTCTGACCAGCATGTACTAAGACTGACGAGTGCATTCAAATCCTAATCAATCTGTCAACACTAGTGTCATCACTAGTGTGAACACACAAACACAATATTGCAATCTACTCAACAGAAATTCATTGTGTATAGATGGAACATGACGATGTTGTGATGGGTGAAATGATTTCGACTGTTGGTTGACATGAGACAGAATGAGTGGGAGAGTGAGAGAGAGTGACTGATTGATTGATTGATTGATTGGTTGAGTGAGTGAGTGAGTGTTCTGTAGAATTTAACTAGTTATCATAACTGCACCAAATGTGAACATACTCATTCAACACATACTGGAATTTCCACGTGTATGTTCTTCAGTTGACAACATTATCTCTATCATCTACAAGTAATGTATTTACTCACATCAGGTTGAAGCATAGTGGAAATGCCTTGCAATTGGCCTACCGAACGATCACATTATTTCCTTGTTCACATTCCGTTTCAGATGGTTTGGGCCAAGACCACAGACATTGGATGTGGAGTTGCGAGTTGTCCAACGTACGGTCTATCAATCGTGTGTAATTATGGTCCAGGGTAAGTGATTGCTCTTGATCATGTGAGAATAAACAATTTTGTTTGCAATCACCTTGTTGTTGTTGTTCTCATAGTGAATGTAACTGATGTTTTATATTGTGTTGACTGTTTTAGTGGTAATTGGAATAATGAGAAACCATATGAAGTGAAATCACGTGAATTGTGCCCAAAAATGCAGAATATTCCTAAAAAGAGTTTTCAAACGACGCGTGATGATACACAGCGTGCACCATTATCAAAAGTGAATGTCAACCACAAGTTGTCATCGATCGGTTCAAGTGAAGGTTTAGTTAACGATCAACCCTCCACAGGCGTGCAAAGAACGTTGGATTCGAATAGACGAGAAATACTCGAACTGCATACAAAATACAGACAGGATTTGGTTGATTGTAAAGTTGTTGGACAACCTCCAGCTAAATATATGTCACCATTGGTAAATCACTCACTATTCAATAATTTCTTCAAATAATATACGTAACGCTTATTTGTAGAAATGGAATTACAATCTGGCTGCACAAGCACAAAAATTGGCGAACAAATGCATCTTGCAACACGACAAACGTCATTCGGATGAATTCTCTTGGGTTGGACAAAATATTGCTCTCCATCCAACCATTAAGTCGTAAGCTCATTTCTATTCAATTCAATGTTTTCTGATTCAGAGGAGTAGATGCTTGGTTCAATGAGCACAAATTATACGACTACAATCAGAACAACTGCATGAAATGTTTGCATTACACACAAGTAAGTCCATTCTCATCCACTTCAACATAGTTCAACATACCCACAGTCATTTGCCACTCAACATTCACACCTATTATAATGCACCACGAATGTGTGATAACAATCAAGTGGTTTCACTTTTCTACAGGAGTGACTGAAAAACACATGTGAATACACGTAATCCGATCATTGCAGTTATGCACACAGGTATCCACAACACTTGATCATATTTGAGTATGTGTGTTTTGTTGAGAGTTGAGGTGATTCGGTGGAAAACAACAGATAGGAAATTTGTCTCTGACCAGCATGTACTAAGACTGACGAGTGCATTCAAATCCTAATCAATCTGTCAACACTAGTGTCATCACTAGTGTGAACACACAAACACAATATTGCAATCTACTCAACAGAAATTCATTGTGTATAGATGGAAGATGATGATGTTGTGATGGGTGAAATGATTTCGACTGTTGGTTGACATGAGACAGAATGAGTGGGAGAGTGAGAGAGAGTGACTGATTGATTGATTGATTGATTGGTTGAGTGAGTGAGTGAGTGTTCTGTAGAATTTAACTAGTTATCATAACTGCACCAAATGTGAACATACTCATTCAACACATACTGGAATTTCCACGTGTATGTTCTTCAGTTGACAACATTATCTCTATCATCTACAAGTAATGTATTTACTCACATCAGGTTGAAGCATAGTGGAAATGCCTTGCAATTGGCCTACCGAACGATCACATTATTTCCTTGTTCACATTCCGTTTCAGATGGTTTGGGCCAAGACCACAGACATTGGATGTGGAGTTGCGAGTTGTCCAACGTACGGTCTATCAATCGTGTGTAATTATGGTCCAGGGTAAGTGATTGCTCTTGATCATGTGAGAATAAACAATTTTGTTTGCAATCACCTTGTTGTTGTTGTTCTCATAGTGAATGTAACTGATGTTTTATATTGTGTTGACTGTTTTAGTGGTAATTGGAATAATGAGAAACCATATGAAGTGAAATCACGTGAATTGTGCCCAAAAATGCAGAATATTCCTAAAAAGAGTTTTCAAACGACGCGTGATGATACACAGCGTGCACCATTATCAAAAGTGAATGTCAACCACAAGTTGTCATCGATCGGTTCAAGTGAAGGTTTAGTTAACGATCAACCCTCCACAGGCGTGCAAAGAACGTTGGATTCGAATAGACGAGAAATACTCGAACTGCATACAAAATACAGACAGGATTTGGTTGATTGTAAAGTTGATGGACAACCTCCAGCTAAATATATGTCACCATTGGTAAATCACTCACTATTCAATAATTTCTTCAAATAATATACGTAACGCTTATTTGTAGAAATGGAATTACAATCTGGCTGCACAAGCACAAAAATTGGCGAACAAATGCATCTTGCAACACGACAAACGTCATTCGGATGAATTCTCTTGGGTTGGACAAAATATTGCTCTCCATCCAACCATTAAGTCGTAAGCTCATTTCTATTCAATTCAATGTTTTCTGATTCAGAGGAGTAGATGCTTGGTTCAATGAGCACAAATTATACGACTACAATCAGAACAACTGCATGAAATGTTTGCATTACACACAAGTAAGTCCATTCTCATCCACTTCAACATAGTTCAACATACCCACAGTCATTTGCCACTCAACATTCACACCTATTATAATGCACCACGAATGTGTGATAACAATCAAGTGGTTTCACTTTTCTACAGGAGTGACTGAAAAACACATGTGAATACACGTAATCCGATCATTGCAGTTATGCACACAGGTATCCACAACACTTGATCATATTTGAGTATGTGTGTATTGTTGAGAGTTGAGGTGATTCGGTGGAAAACAACAGATAGGAAATTTGTCTCTGACCAGCATGTACTAAGACTGACGAGTGCATTCAAATCCTAATCAATCTGTCAACACTAGTGTCATCACTAGTGTGAACACACAAACACAATATTGCAATCTACTCAACAGAAATTCATTGTGTATAGATGGAACATGACGATGTTGTGATGGGTGAAATGATTTCGACTGTTGGTTGACATGAGACAGAATGAGTGGGAGAGTGAGAGAGAGTGACTGATTGATTGATTGATTGATTGGTTGAGTGAGTGAGTGAGTGTTCTGTAGAATTTAACTAGTTATCATAACTGCACCAAATGTGAACATACTCATTCAACACATACTGGAATTTCCACGTGTATGTCCTTCAGTTGACAACATTATCTCTATCATCTACAAGTAATGTATTTACTCACATCAGGTTGAAGCATAGTGGAAATGCCTTGCAATTGGCCTACCGAACGATCACATTATTTCCTTGTTCACATTCCGTTTCAGATGGTTTGGGCCAAGACCACAGACATTGGATGTGGAGTTGCGAGTTGTCCAACGTACGGTCTATCAATCGTGTGTAATTATGGTCCAGGGTAAGTGATTGCTCTTGATCATGTGAGAATAAACAATTTTGTTTGCAATCACCTTGTTGTTGTTGTTCTCATAGTGAATGTAACTGATGTTTTATATTGTGTTGACTGTTTTAGTGGTAATTGGAATAATGAGAAACCATATGAAGTGAAATCACGTGAATTGTGCCCAAAAATGCAGAATATTCCTAAAAAGAGTTTTCAAACGACGCGTGATGATACACAGCGTGCACCATTATCAAAAGTGAATGTCAACCACAAGTTGTCATCGATCGGTTCAAGTGAAGGTTTAGTTAACGATCAACCCTCCACAGGCGTGCAAAGAACGTTGGATTCGAATAGACGAGAAATACTCGAACTGCATACAAAATACAGACAGGATTTGGTTGATTGTAAAGTTGTTGGACAACCTCCAGCTAAATATATGTCACCATTGGTAAATCACTCACTATTCAATAATTTCTTCAAATAATATACGTAACGCTTATTTGTAGAAATGGAATTACAATCTGGCTGCACAAGCACAAAAATTGGCGAACAAATGCATCTTGCAACACGACAAACGTCATTCGGATGAATTCTCTTGGGTTGGACAAAATATTGCTCTCCATCCAACCATTAAGTCGTAAGCTCATTTCTATTCAATTCAATGTTTTCTGATTCAGAGGAGTAGATGCTTGGTTCAATGAGCACAAATTATACGACTACAATCAGAACAACTGCATGAAATGTTTGCATTACACACAAGTAAGTCCATTCTCATCCACTTCAACATAGTTCAACATACCCACAGTCATTTGCCACTCAACATTCACACCTATTATAATGCACCACGAATGTGTGATAACAATCAAGTGGTTTCACTTTTCTACAGGAGTGACTGAAAAACACATGTGAATACACGTAATCCGATCATTGCAGTTATGCACACAGGTATCCACAACACTTGATCATATTTGAGTATGTGTGTTTTGTTGAGAGTTGAGGTGATTCGGTGGAAAACAACAGATAGGAAATTTGTCTCTGACCAGCATGTACTAAGACTGACGAGTGCATTCAAATCCTAATCAATCTGTCAACACTAGTGTCATCACTAGTGTGAACACACAAACACAATATTGCAATCTACTCAACAGAAATTCATTGTGTATAGATGGAAGATGATGATGTTGTGATGGGTGAAATGATTTCGACTGTTGGTTGACATGAGACAGAATGAGTGGGAGAGTGAGAGAGAGTGACTGATTGATTGATTGATTGATTGGTTGAGTGAGTGAGTGAGTGTTCTGTAGAATTTAACTAGTTATCATAACTGCACCAAATGTGAACATACTCATTCAACACATACTGGAATTTCCACGTGTATGTTCTTCAGTTGACAACATTATCTCTATCATCTACAAGTAATGTATTTACTCACATCAGGTTGAAGCATAGTGGAAATGCCTTGCAATTGGCCTACCGAACGATCACATTATTTCCTTGTTCACATTCCGTTTCAGATGGTTTGGGCCAAGACCACAGACATTGGATGTGGAGTTGCGAGTTGTCCAACGTACGGTCTATCAATCGTGTGTAATTATGGTCCAGGGTAAGTGATTGCTCTTGATCATGTGAGAATAAACAATTTTGTTTGCAATCACCTTGTTGTTGTTGTTCTCATAGTGAATGTAACTGATGTTTTATATTGTGTTGACTGTTTTAGTGGTAATTGGAATAATGAGAAACCATATGAAGTGAAATCACGTGAATTGTGCCCAAAAATGCAGAATATTCCTAAAAAGAGTTTTCAAACGACGCGTGATGATACACAGCGTGCACCATTATCAAAAGTGAATGTCAACCACAAGTTGTCATCTACCGGTTCAAGTGGAATTAGTTTTCGGGACCAGCGCGTACATGGTCAACCTATTTGTATAAATAATTTCCAATATGGTCGTCGTAATACACAGCGTAAATGGAAATCCGGAAACGAAGCCTTACACAAGTTCTCGAAGGACGTTCGTGTTGGAAGTGTTTTTGGCTATGTACAAGGATAGTTTAATGGTAGAATAGTACGATACAGAAACTGATTGAGTTAATTGGGCAAATATAATTGATGCCTCGATATCTATTACACGTATCTGTTTTCAATTTTGTTTTCACTTCTGTAACCCCAAACCCTCTCTGAATTTATACTCATTACGTACTTCCATTGATATGCAGGACTATTTTGTGTTGATATTACTCAACTATATGTATGTGTGTAGCAATTAGTCGTAACTCATAACTTATAATTGAATATATTTCATTCAAATCATATTGTTTTGTGTTTTGTAATTTATGTGGTGAGTGAGAAACGATGTTGGCAAGTGTCATTGGAATGATACATTTAATGAATACACTCATTATGTGTTGATTATTTCATCTTTGTATGTGTATTGTGTATATCGTATGTTGTATTGTATGTTGACTGGATTTCACGTTTATTCAACTCATGAATGTAATTAGTAACAATAATCACTTCATTCAATATTAAACATGTAATTCAACAGTAAATCCTTAGCTTACAATATATTCCAACTCAATTCTCCTATTCCCTGTACACAACATCATTATGTCTAGTTTAATGATATTTTCGTTTGAGAAATTATGAATCTTTACAAAGATTAACTACTTGATCATGCATAAGTATAGCGTTTCGGTTAAGTCAGTTTTGATAAACTGTTCGTCAGATAGACAACATTCCCCATAGAGTGGGAAATGTGTATGTTCAGTGAATGATTTGTATCTGATAACATACAACTTACCATTATTTGTTTACAAGATAATAAAATATTTATGCATAAGCATGATTATTACAACGTCTGACAAGTGTCAGGCTTACTCTTCTCAGTACAGTGAAATTGCTTCTTCAAAGTTAAGCAGCACAATAGGATACTAGATAACGTACAAGTAAAATTTTAGTTTGTAAAATTAGGTGTGTAGTAGTAATATCAACAGCATGGGACTTCTTCACATAAACATTCGGTTAAAAGGTTTGATATGAACAAATGATGAGGGGCGTGAAACAGACCAAATGCAGACTACACCATGATAGATGTTATTTGATGTGGTTTTCAATACAGAATATCGGAAATGACGAAGACGTGTCATTGCAGTACTGTGTTGATGTGATTTTCATAGAATGAGTTAGAGTGAACAGCTTCACATGTAGAATGAAGTATTGTAACACTAATGAACATAGACAATTGTTATGTGTGTAGTAAGAATTCATTCATTTCGAATGAATGAGGAGATGAAGAATCACGTTCCAATACAGTTATTTACTTCATTTACTTAACTAAACTGTATTTGTTGATGGAAGATCGAGTAAGCAATCAGTAAATGTAAAAGTAAACAACATCTCCATTAAAATCATCCACTTAGCTCTGAATTCAAAACACATTACAGTGTCAACCATATGCATCGTATACAAATATTGTGACATTCTACATAGATAAAAATAATATAGAAGATGCAAAGGATGAACGATAAGGTAAATAAAATTATTGAATGTATTAATGTGACATGCAATTTTCCATATCATTTGTGTTAATAGCAATGAGACTGTGAACACAGGATATTTAGCCATGCTGTAATTATAATAAATAACTGATACTTTGAATAAATAACTCCCCTTGGAGTCCCTCTGGGGGCTACCACCGGTCCCAAACCCGGATAAAGGAGGAGGGTTGGGCATGGGGTTAGCGTCCCATCCCGTAGAAATCTAACCCGCTAAAAAAATGCTAACCAGAAAAAATTATTCAAACCTTTTAAACTCTGCCCTGGGAGTCAGTAGGTCTTCATTTAGAAGAATTATGACGCCTCATGATGAAAGCCGAATTCCTTCGGAAGGCACGAGGCCGATGCCGCTTCTGACAACCAGAGCGACCATTTATTTAGGTACATGGAATGTTCGTACAATGTGGGACACCGGGAGAGCCTTCCAAATTGCTGCAGAAATGAGAAGATACAACCTAGAGTTACTAGGGATCAGTGAAACACATTGGACACAAGTTGGACAACAACGACTAACTACTGGAGAGCTCCTGCTATACTCCGGCCATGAAGAAGAAAATGCACCACATACACAAGGAGTTGCATTGATGCTGTTCAAACAAGCGCAAAATGCGCTTATAGGATGGGAATCTCATAGACCAAGGATCATCAAAGCCTCCTTCAAAACAAAGAAAGAGGGTATTTCAATGAACATCATCCAATGCTATGCGCCTACCAACGACTACAATGAAGACGCTAGAGATCAATTCTACGATAGGCTGCAGTCAATCGTCGAGAAGTGCCCAACAAAGGACCTGACCATTCTGATGGGAGATTTCAATGTCAAGGTTGGAACGGACAACACTGGATATGAAGACATCATGGGACGACACGGACTGGGAGAAAGGAACGAAAATGATGAGAGATTTGCAAATCTATGTGCCTTCAATAAGCTGGTCATAGGCGGCACCATATTCCTACATAAGCGCATACACAAAACCACATGGACTTCACCGGATCACTCTACACAAAACCAAATCGACCATATTTGCATCAACAAAACGTTCAAGAGGACTATAGAGGACGTGAGAACTAAGAGAGGAGCTGATATAACATCAGATCATCACTTGCTGGTCGCCAAGATCAAATTGAAACTCAAGAAGCGCTGGAAAACGGGGCGGACAATATCACAAATGTGCAATACGGCCTTTCTTCAGGATACTAACAAACTCAACGAATCCAAGATAGTTCTCAGCAACAAGTTCCAGGCCTTTCATGATCTACTCAATGGAGAAGGAACTACTATGGAGAGCGACTGGAAGAGGATCAAAAAGGCAATCACTTCAACATGTCATGAGGTCCCAGGTCGCAAGAAGCACCACCACAAGGAATGAATCATTGTTGATGCACTGGATAAGATTCAAGAAAGGAGGAACATAAAGGCAGCAATCAATACCAGTCGAACAAGAGCAGAAAAAGCCAAGGCACAAGCTGAATACACAGAAGTAAACAAACAAGTGAAGAGGAGCATCAGAACTGACAAACGTAAATATGTGGAGGATCTAGCAATGACGATGGAAAAGGATGCAAGTGAGGGAAACATGAGACAGCTGTATGACACGACAAAGAAACTCACTGGAAATCGCCGCAAACCAGAACGACCAGTGAGAAGTAAGGAAAGCGAGGTAATCACCAATATTGAAGAGCAACAAAACAGGTGGGTAGAACACTTCAAACAACTCTTGAATCGACCAGCTCCACTGAACCCACCCAAAATCGAAGCAGCACCCACAGACCTCCCAATCAACGTTGGCCCACCAACAATTGAAGAAATCAGCATGGCCATCAGACAAATCAGGTGTGGCAAAGCAGCAGGATCAGACAACATTCCAGCAGAGGCACTGAAAGCAGACGTAGCGGTAACTGCAAGGATACTCCACATTGTCTTCAATAAGATTTGGGATGAGGAACAAGTACCAAAAGACTGGAAAGAAGGACTCCTGATCAAAATACAGAAGAAAGGCGATCTCAGCAAGTGTGATAAATACAGGGGCATCACTCTTCTCTCAATACCGGGAAAAGTCTTCAACAGGGTATTGTTAAACAGAATGAATGGCTCCGTAGACGCCAAACTTCGAGACCAACAAGCAGGATTCCGTAAGGATAAATCGTGTACAGACCAAATCGCAACTCTATGGATCATTGTGAAACAATCAATTGAATGGAATTCATCACTCTACATCAACTTCATTGACTACGAAAAGCCATTTGATAGCGTGGACAGAACAACACTATGGAAACTTCTTCGACACTACGGCGTGCCTCAGACGATAGTCAATATCATACAGAACTCATATGATGGATTAAACTGCAAAATTGTGCATGGAGGACAGTTGACAAAGTCGTTCGAAGTGAAGACCGGTGTTAGTCAAGGTTGCTTACTCTCACCCTTTCTCTTTCTCCTGGTGATCGACTGGATCATGAAGACGTCAACGTCTGAAGGGAAGCGCGGGATACAATGGACATCTAAGATGCAGTTGGATGATCTAGACTTCGCAGATGATCTGGCCCTTCTATCCCAAACGCAACAACAGATGCAGGAGAAGACGAACAGTGTGACAGCAGCCTCAGCAGCAGTAGGTCTCAATATACACAAAGGGAAAAGCAGGATTCTCTGATACAACACAGAATGCGCCAATCCAATCACAATTGATGGAGAACATTTGGAAGATGTAAAAACCTTTACATGTTTGAGCAGCATCATTGATGAACACAGTGGATCTGATGTAGATGTGAAGGCGCGGATCGGCAAAGCAAGAGCAACATATTTACAACTGAGGAACATCTGGAACTCAAAGCAACTGTCAACCAACACCGAGGTCAGGATTTTCAATACAAATGTCAAGACAGTTCTACTGTATGGGGCAGAAACCTGGAGAACTACGAAAGCCATCATCCATAAAATACAGGTGTTTATTAACAATTGTCTACGCAAAATACTTCAGATCCATTGGCCGGACACTATTAGCAACAACGTAGTGTGGGAGAGAACAAACCAGATCCCAGCGGAGGAAGAAATCAGGAAGAAGCGCTGAAAGTGGATAAGACACACATTGAGGAAAGCACCCAACTGCGTCACAAGACAAGACCTCACATGGAATCCTCATGGCGAAAGGAGGAGATGAATACCAAGGAACACATTACGCCGAGAAATGGAGATAGACCTGAGAAGAATGAATAACAATACGATAGAACTAGAAAAGAAGGCCCAGGACAGAGTGTGTTGGAGAATGCTGGTCAGCGGCCTATGCTCCATTGGGAGTAACAGGCGTAAGTAAGTAAGTAAGTACTTTGAATAAATTACCCATGTGGAAATAATTTCGAATTATCTTAGAGATTTACTGACAAAATATATTTGAGACTCGATGTATACAAAATCTCAAATTAACGGAAGTCAAATATGTGAATAGTTGGTACACAGCACATTTATCGAAAGGTTAAATGCCCAGTGCACTATCTTAACGTCCTAGATTCCATTCGAAATGAAATCATGACCATTAAGGTACTCATAGTGAAACGAAAACGGTAAGTAGTGCATGCTGGGTTCCACTGGTTTTGTAAATAAAATCAGTCTACGAGGTGAACATAAACAAATAAAACTAAGTTGGATAGAGTATTATTGATTCTTTCATTGCCTCACGTCTTCATCCATATAGAGCTGAAAACTAGTTTGATCTTCTTTCAGTGATAATATTTGTAGAGGCTATGATAATGTTATTGACTAGGTTAAAGAAACGGAAAAAAACAAATATCCAGTTGGTGGAAACTGTTTTAAAAGATGAGATCTGAACTTTTAAAAATACCAGGTGGCAGCTGAAAAGGAAATTAGGAAAATACGTCGTAAATTGAGGAAATCCATTAGCTGCTTCAAGAGTCAAGCGATAACTTGGAATCCTGAAGGGAAACAAATAAGAGGACAATCAAAAGGCAGACTATGCCGAGTTAAGTCAATAATTATTTGTAAGGAATGGTGAAATGTATATTTCGATAACTTGATAACAAGCAGCAAATGATCTACCTAGAGTGAAATTTTGGGCCACCACCACAATTGATTGGTCACTGAATGGTGATCAATGTAATGTGTGTCAAGTCCTTGTCAGTGCAGATCGAAAGCCGTCGATCAAGTTGCAATGTGGCTACTAGTCTAGGTGACTCGAGACTGCGTGTACTATGTTGGTATAAGATGGTGGTTGAAGGTAGTCAACAGTAAAACCCTGAACCCAGGACTTGACACACATGACATTGATCACCACCCAGTGATCACTCAATTGTAATTACATCTCAGTCCTACAGGAAGTCGGTCACTGCCCGAATAGCTCAGTGGTAAGGTCTCTGACTGTGAAGGTGGGTAACACAGGATCGAACCAGTTCCTTCAAGATTACAAGTAGCACAAGACCTGGGTCCAGGGTTTCCTGATGACTACCTCCAACCACCATCTCATCTCTCTACGCCACCATAGCAGACATCAGAAAGATAAATAACAGTTGAAACCAACTGGAAAAGATTTCCCAGTTTAATGTTGGATGGAGAATAATGGTCGGCCGCTTATGCTCCTTGACGAGGAGTAACAAGTGTAAATAAATAAATAAGTTATACAATTATATGAATAAACAAAATAATTCAATTAAAACGATAAAAACGTTACGTTGAAAGAACCACATGATTGATTTGAACATGGATTGCACAAAAAAACCACAATCTAAAACGCTACATAAATTATTCTACTTATAGTTAACAAACAATCATTTTAATAGAAAGAAAACTGTCATTTCATATGCATAGGCTGAAATGAAAATGCATGATGTGCCAAATCACATCATAACAGTACGGTTGTTGTGGGGTTTTTTTGTTTTATTTTTTTATCTCTAAAAGATTCTATAAATTGTCTGTTACCCAAATCTTTCAGAGATAAAATGAATAATAAACAGATTTTATGTATCTTCTTCTTCTTCTTCTTAGTAATTTATATAAAAGTAAACATTGTCTTCTCACAACCAAATGATCCACAACTTCAAAAACTTCTACAATATCATAATGATCTTAGACGTAATTTAACAGAATGTAAATTTGAAGGACAACCTCCAGCGAAATATCTGCCAGATCTTGTAAGTTTATATTACATCATCTATTATATGTTACATGTAAAATAGAAATGGGATAATGAACTAGCTTCAAAAGCTAAAGATTTAGCAAATGAATGTTATTTTCATCATAATGATGTGAATTTACCGCATAAATGGGAATATGTTGGTCAAAATATAGCAGGATATCAAACAATTGAACAGTAACTAACATTATCATTATTACTATTCTTTTCTTAATTCCTCTTAATCTTATTTTAGAGCATTCGATGCATGGAAAGATGAATATAAACAGTATAGTTATTATTCAATGAGTTGCTACGGTGTTTGTGGACATTATACTCAAGTAAATTATTACAAATAAACTAACATTCACGATGACGTAATACATTTTACTTGGTATTTTTATTATGAATTAACTTTATATTTACTTTACTAAAGTGATAATGAGATTGCTGTAATATTAATTAACCACTATACTATACTATGCTATGTTCAATGTTATAGGAGTAGGTTGGAAGAAAACTAGGGGCGGCCAGACCAAAACATGGCACAAATCCATGAAGTCACTGACAAGTAGACTGAGTCATATTTGTAGGTGTAGACTACCTGGTTGGGGACCGCGAGATAATAGCAACCGATGGTTAGAGACCCTGAATGACATGGCTCAAAATCGTTTGCACTGGTGCAGGTGCATCCACTCTTTGTGTTCTCCCAAATTCTAATCTCCAGAATTCTTCATGTCCCTTATTTTCTTTCCAAATTTATTTCACTGTATTATACTCTTTAAATAACATCTTCAAACCCTAGTCTTTCCTATTACTGCTTATACTCTTACTACCTCTACCACTATGGGATTTGAATCGACAATTGTATGTGTGTGCTAATGTGATATGGCAACTCGAACTGATGTACGTACGTACGAAGTTCTATGATGTTACTGACTGACTGACTGATACCATACTATATATAGTTATTACTTGTAAAACAGTTTGAGTCTTACTACACTTAAAATCTAATTCATTTATTCATTGAAATTAATGAAGTAAATGATTAGTATTATAGTGATCATGCTAATGACATTGTCTCAGTTCTAGTTAGATCTTAAATAGATACAGCTGAAGTTTTCCTTATTATTCTTATTCTTATTATTATTAAAGACAGATGTTTAATGTTACATCTATCCATATATTTAATTTTTTTTATCAAAAGTTACATTAACACGAGTCGGGACATCGTCAACGATAAATATATTTGTTGTCAATATCAAATTTTATTTTCTCACTGGTTGTTCTTTATTTAACATTTCATATAAGTTATATGTAATTTCAATAGTTGAGATCATGAGCCAATTGAAGCTAGAACAGCATGGAAAAACCTGGAAACACTGGACGGTCGTTTCGTCCTATTGTGGGAATCCTCCTTGGCAGTATGGATCCACGATCCCGTCTCACGACATTCCAACTCAGGACATATCAGTCTCATGCGCGAGTGCTTAACCTCCAGACCACTGGGTCGACATCTATTGGTGTTAATGTCTAACTTCAACTAATCCACAAAAATGAGTGACACATCCATCATTGTCATCAGTGAGTTACTATCTCACAACTGACCCGGATGAACTCCACCCCGCGAGGTGGAGTCGTGGATACGCACTGATGAGGAGTCCTACAATAGAACGAAACCACCGTCCAGTGCTTTCAAATTTTTCATAGTGGTTCAGCATCGATTGATTCATTATCTTAACTAATGGAATTACTACAATCTCCACAAAACCTCTTCTGATACTTATATATAATTGTCTATATAAACAACTTATCTTTAAATTATCAGTTCAAAATTTTTAAAATTTATTTTAGTTAGTATGGCAAAATACTACTCATGTTGGTTGTGGTATTACAAATTGTACTGGAAATTATGGATTTCCATATGGATTATCAGTTGTCTGTAATTATGGCCCAGGGTAAATAAATATTAATAATTAATACTAATTATTGTACTATAATTTTATTCTACTAAGTATTATAATAGTAATATGAAGATGTTTCTATTCATTAAATTTTAAAAGGAAAAATTCAATTGATACATTCCATTGTATATTATTTTGTATTTTAGAGGAAACTATGAAGGTCGTTATCCTTACGAAGCAAAATCACAAGATGAATGTTATGCTGTAACTACTAGACGTCCTAAACCTACTAGACGTCCAGTTACTACTAAACGTCCTAGAACTACTAGACGTCCTGAAACTACTAGACGTCCAATTACTACTAAACGTCCTAGAACTACTAGACGTCCTGAAACTACCAGACGTCCAATTACTACTAAACGTCCTGAAACCATACCAACTCGTAAACCAGACATATCAAAACAAATACCAAAACCAAACTGGCCTACACTTATCAGTTCATGGAGTGGATTTGCCAATTCAAATATGCTACAAGGAATAATAACAAAAACATGTATTTGTATTCAGTGAAAAGTAAAAGTTACCCAAAACATTTAATATGTCACTGTTCTGGGTATTAACCATGTTGTATGTTTTAAATGAAAATATAAACATTATTGAAAGAGAGACAACATTTTTGTTCTTTTCTAAAACAATAACTGATTTCCAGTAATCGATTACGAGTGTAAGTCTTTATTAAGAGATGATTTAATATAAATGACTTGAAACCTTAGTAACTTAGATGTATTCAACTATAGCTATGGATTAGTGTTAAAGTATTTAAAAAAAGTAGTAACGATATTACATTGACTATAAAATCGACGGTGAAGTAGAGAATGTAGATCCTGGTGTATGTGACTAACTTCAGATTGTCTTTAATAGCGTAGATGCTTGTATAAACACATCTCAATATTTGAATGAAATCATTTATGATTAAGCAATGATGTAGTTAAAATGTATCTGTCATTCTATATAAGTGAAAAAGAAAACAAACTTTCATCAGTTGTCAGTTTATTTAGACATGTTGGGGTTGAAGCTATCACGAGTTCACTTAATATGCAAACGAGAACAAAGACTTGATGACCAAAGAGTAGTAAGTTAGCTATTGATGAGTCCCAGCCCCGCTAACTAGAGGGAGAAGTCCAAGCTTGGAATGGAGAAGTATATTCTGCAAACATCTAGAAACGAGCGATAACAACAAACGCACATCAAAACGTATATATACAGCACCAAACCATCCTTGGGGAGAATTACCAAATAGCATACTAAAAGACGCAACGGACCAATAGCATTTAAGATATTTCCCAGTGGGAAATAAGACATGAAGGTGACAAGAGCACCTTTGGCGCGAAAACAGAGAAATTTAAATTGTCTAAATAAAATTACAAAATTAGGTCCTTTCTCAAGTGAGTTCTGGGGATCCAACGTCCCCAACAAGACAAAAGTTCAACATAACATTTAACTCCCCCATCATATACTACTGAATTCTATACTCAAAATAAATCAACATTTATGTCAAATAACTATTCAAAAGTGTAACTATACCATTGGTAACATATAGTCATGCACGAGTTTATCCTAAATATTGCTCGTTAATTATTTAACTTCCAAGTTAAGGTAGGTCAAACAATAAAGTTGAGTATGAATTACCAAGTAGATAATCTACTAAAAAAATATATTAGATATTACCATGGATATCAATAGTAATAGTTGTTACTAGGAACTTGTTACAAATGTGTGATCTTTTATAAATATCCTCATGAACATGTATATTGAAAGTGAACAATTCATTGAATAATTTTACCAAAATGAAGTTTCATATAATCTAAATAAAATTACAACGGAATATCTAACTAGTATTGAATCAGAAGGGGTTTTGTGGAGATAATAATCATCTGCTCACTAGTGACTGACTTCAAGAGATACTCCCGGAGTTTTAGTGAGAAGCCGTTACCGGTGGAGTTCAACCAGGTCTCTTGTGAGATATCAAGTCACTGAAGACAATGGTGTACGGTGGCGCAAATTCGTGGATTAGTTGAAGTTATACATTATCACATCTCGGATGTCGGCTCAGTGGTCTAGTTAGTTTAGCGCCTGGCGCGAGACTGACAGGTCCTGGGATCGAATACCACGGAGTGCGGGGTCGTGGGTGCACACTGCTGAAGAGTCCCATACTAGGACGAAACGGCCATCCAGTGCTTCCAGGTTTTCCATGGTGATCTAGTTTCAACTGACTCATAATTTCAATCAGTATTATTGAATCTTTAATTGATATTTCAATCATCTTCAATATATTGCCTTTCTGGATGGTTTTAAACTGAAGATCAATGACCTAAAGATCTCTTTGTTGTTCAACAAGTTACCATAGTTTTAGATTCTACTAATGAAATACTCCTAATATCCATTTACTTTAAGAATTTAGAATACACATGACTTTATCGTTTTCCATTGAAAAGCTGTTCATTAACTTCTGAACTTAAATACGCTTTACTAGTTACATTATTATAAATGTGCTTTATCAGAACTTAACATATCCCTTACCTCAATCTTTGTATATAGACTTCAGAAGGAATACTGACTTATAAGGTAGTTGGATATAGTTTATAGCAATAAAAAGGACTTGAAATAGATTATATTTGCACTTGCATCCCAAAGTTGATGTTCACTCTGAGACCCAGTACCATTCGATTCAAACGCCATCAACTTATCCACTTACCTACCAAATTTTGAAAGTCACTAACCTAGGCAATTTGAAGATTCAAATCATTTTTGTATTGGTTGTTTGTATCTTCCCATTGATGATATGACAAGTCCCGAACAGAAGAAAACGAGCGTCCTGGATTCTATTGATAACCATTATTCATATTTGGTTAAAATGATTTTGACTGAAAGCAATATGGAGACAATCTACACAGGATGCTTATATGCTAATAAGAAACTGGTTAATTGAAGTCCTAAACATCATTTGGAACATTCAAACAAACAATACAATATTTTTAAACTTGATATTCAGCAAACATTTGTTTACTTTATTCAAATATAATGGTAATAATTTAAAAGCAATATTTAGTTGATTATTAATTTCTATGGAAGTTTGCGTTCTTCAGCATCACTTATAATCGAACTGAGTTCAATTTATTATATTGTGTAACTACTTCATAAACATTGATGCGTAAAATTTCGAAAAAACAAAACATATATGAAGGTTCAAATGAAATTGCATTTGAAATACATTAGTAATGATAAGAAAAGTAATCACATACTCAGACCAATGAGGATGCAAGTTACTTACTTACTTACTTGCTTGCATACTTACGCTTGTTACTCCCAATGAAGCATAGGCCGCCCACTAGCATTCTCCAACACACTCTGTCCTGGGCCTTCTTTTCCAGTTCTATCGTATTGTTATTCATTCTTCTCATGTCTATCTCCATTTCTCGGTGTAATGTATTCCTTGGTCTTCACCTCCTCCTTTCGCCATGAGGATTCCATGTGAGGTCTTGTCTTGTGACGCAGTTGGGTGCTTTCCTCAATGTGTGTCTTATCCACTTTCAGCGCTTCTTCCTGATTTCTTCCTCCGCTGGGATCTGGTTTGTTCTCTCCCACAGTACGTTGTTGCTGATAGTGTTTGTCCAACAGATCTGATATATTCTGCGCAGGCAACTATTAATAAACACCTGTATTTTATGGATGATGGCTTTTGTAATTCTCCGAGTTTCCGCTCCATACAGTAGAACTGTCTTGACATTTGTATTGAGGATGTGTCTACTTATCCAATAAACATGACAAAATATAAGACTTTAAATAAATCTTCTAGACTACATGAAATGAGACTATTTGTGAAAAAGATAGGTTGATTTCATTGATATGTAGAGTACTAGCACGTATTTTGTAGTGTACTACACAAAGTATAAACATTCAACACAGTTTTTTTTATTCTGTTGTACTAACAGTTTATAATTCATATGTTTCAGCAGGTTTATCTGTTTCAAACTTAGCTATCACTTTCGAGTGTTAACTTGTACTTATAATTGTAGAATCTAACGATAATTTCTATAAAAAGAATTGTTCTTTTTTATTTTTATTTTTTATTTTTTATTTTTATAAAATGGGAACTCCTAGAGTTCTAGTGAGAAGCCGCGACCAGTGAAGTTCAGTCTGTGTTAAATGTTAGACAGTTATCCAGATCAGACAATGGAAGAAGTGTTGTGCAAGATCATGGATTCATTGAAGTTAAACATTGACAACGTTCGATACCGGCTCAGTGGTTTATAATTTAGAGATTCGCGCACGAGACCAAAGACCCTGGGTTCGATTCCTACATACGGGACCGGGATGCGCACTTCTGAGGAGTCCCACACTAGGACGAAATGGTCGTCCATTTCATCCATATTTTCAACAGTGAGCTAGCTTGGGTCGACTCATGAATCCAACTGTGAAAATGGTAATAGTCCGGAAGAAGAATATTTAGTAATCGATTTCAAGTTGTATGAAAGCGATTTTGATATTCATTATGTATATTAAGAAGGAGACAACCAAAACTTGAATAAGTGATCGCTGTGTATACGTCTACAATTCGTGGTCGATATGTATATCTGACGATATAATGAAACAGCTTATAGAGTTTTCATTCAGTGGAATCCACAGTTATTGTTTTTCATGCGCCCGATGGAGATGAGTGGAAATGATGATTTTTGTGCCCTCTTTTATATGTATCAATTTAACTATATATATTGAGCAACTTGCGCCCTCCAATATTTTAAGAATCCATACGTATTTTCTTAATAAAACTTTTCAGAGTGATTAATTGTTGAGACTAAGACCATAAACGGTTTAATCTTACTATCGACATTACTTAAATACTTCGGCTTGCTACCCCTCGTCGAGCAGCATGGGCCGTCCACCAGCATTCACCAACCAACTCTGTCCTGAGAAATCCTTCTCAATTGATTCTAGTTGCTAGTTATCTTTTTTCGTGTCTGCTTCCGATTACCAAGGTTGTGTGTCCTCTGGTCTTCCTCTTTTCCGTTTCCATTCAGGATTCCAAGTTAGAGCTTGCCTCGTGATGCAGTTTGATGATTTCCGTAATGTATGTCTTATCCATTACCATCGTCTTTTCCTAATTTGCTTATAATCAAACATCACCAATTGTTCCAAAATTATTTAATTGTTTTGCAACCATTATTTCATAATTCTTGTATTAATAATACAAAATAAACTAAATTTCATTACTATTCTATGTATTTTGCATACAACAAACGTCATTTTGATTTATTTTCAAAGTTGAATTCATAAGTCAATCTAAGCTAGACCGTCATTGAAAAGCTGGAAACATTGGATGGCCGTTCCGTTCTAGTATGAGAATGTTCAACAGTGTTCACCCACAACTTTCGTAATGAACGGAAACACAACGTCAGGGTCAACCAAATATATATTAACCCTAAGTTACAGAGTTCTTCCATTAAAATGTGAAAATCACACATTCAATACTTCATTTACAAATCCTTCATCGAATGTCTCAAGTTTCATCATTCTTCTATTATCATAACAATCATTATCTAATCCTCCTTCTCTTCGATTCAATCTTGTCAACCTTCTACTGCCAGGCATTCTAATTCTAATTATCAT